TTTTTTTTTTTTTTTTTTGCCATTCGGATGGCTTTACAAAAAAAGGCACATCAGAATGTACAAAACAATGGATGAGGCAGTCACAAGTGACTGGCAATCAATAAAAACGCTTTGAGACATTATCCAATAATTTCACACAATAACCCGAACTGTATTGTGCATAGAAAAACATAGAAATTACAAATTAAATTATTTGTTGTATACTACACAATCGTAAGTTAATACAAATAATAAGAAGGTTTCAGACAATAACCAGTATATATACTAGATGTAATTCCGCAGAGTCCCTGAAAGTGTTCTGTTTCAAGAGTAAATAAACCTGTGTTGTAGTCTAAAGAGTGCACAATTCTTCTCGTGATTCATGGCATGTGCAAACTGCAATGTTAAGCGTCTCTTATGTGACGTCATTTTACTATCTATTGGCTGACTGACAGAAAACACACTACTGTGTAGTGGTGTAACTGGTTAAAACAGCTTATCCCGCCAGGTGGCCCTCGGCACCCTTTCGTGGTAATTATACAGTTACACAAATGCTATTAACAACGTAATTTTCATAATGTGTCAAAGAACTGTAGCCTTCTTTCATTCAGCTGGCAAAGTCAATCAACTACATAGAAAAATACTAAATAAGAAACTGATTGAAGGGCTTACTCCCCCTTCGAGTCCCAATATCTATGAATGAAAGCATTGAATCTGAAAGTCAACAAATCTGTCTGGTAATGAAAGGTCCTCTCATAATGTGTTCTGATAACAACACCAAATTACATGTGTTTTTATTATATTATATATAAACTTAAAATGGTCATATGGAATTCAATGCTGCAGTTACATTTATGATAGAAGAAAAATATCGTTGACTAATGACTGTAATATTTAATTATTCGACGTAGCAATAAACTTTAGAATATTCAAATAAGTGGTTTGGTTTGTTTTGAATTTCGCGCAAAGCTACACGAGGGCTATCTGCGCTAGATGACTAGCTGCCTTCCATCTAGTCTTACACTGCTAAATTAGGGACGGTAACATTGTAAGATAGATGGCTGTCTTTTCTGTCAGCGAATGGGATAAGGCTTAAGGGCTTTGTACTGGGATCGAAGTGGATGAAGGTAGCTTTTTTTAACTTTTGGGAATTAGAGTAACTATAATAACTTTAACTTCTGTACCGTTTTTGCTTTAACTTTTACTATTTTAATGAATCTTTTTTTAGCTTAACATTGGAATGTAGCAGACTTTGACTTTCGAGGGATTTGGAATTTGTTTAGCTTAAATTGTAGTTTAAGCATTTGCATTTTTTTTGTTTAAACTTAACTTTGTGGTTTATTTTAATTGTTTTTTTATGTTTAAATTTACGTTTAGTATAACTTGTAATCGGACAACTGACCTAATAAAAGAAAATATTAAAGATTCCTTCACTCTTATCTAGCCAGTTCAATACATCTACTATATACACTTGCCCTTGTGTTTTGTTTTTGTCCTCTGTGTAATAAAGATTTTTGATTTGGTCGGAGGATGAGAATAAATACAAAACACGCTCCATGACTCAATAAGCTTGAACATGCAGTTAGCGAGTCCAACATGACTATTCTGAAGGATATCTGCGAACCGAAATTACACATTAATATGTCCAACATGACTATTCTGAAGGATATCTGCGAACCGAAATTACACATTAATATGTCCAACATGACTATTCTGAAGGATATTTGCGAACCGAAATTCCACATTAATATGTCCAACATGACTATTCTGAAGGATATCTGCAAACCGAAATTCCACATTAATATTCCACGGAATATGGTGAAATGTAATATAATATTACTATTTTATGCATAAGTTATAGTTAGTTTATCATGCTAAGCCTGAAAGAAATCACCTTTTCAATTTCACACACACACACACAACGAAAATAACAATAAGTGTTTTATTATGCAAAATACACAAAGAAGTAATTTGGCTTCAACATTTAAATCTAGATTTATAACACATTTTTGTTCAATTTCGTAATAATTTATTTCCAGGAACTCTGTTCTTGTATTCTACGAGCAAAAAAGAACAAAATCGACGCGTTTTTTGGCACCATTAAAGATAAAATCTTTATTAGATTTTGCCCAAAATTATATTTATTAGTTTGTACCAAAAAACGTCGTTTTCGTTTTTTTACTTTTAATAATATGTCATAATTTTAAACTGTGCAAATTCTAACCAAAACATTGTGAGAAAACATGGCCTAAATTTGGTAATCAGTGATGGTAGCTGTAC